GTTAAGGGAAATGTTTGCCCAGTAGATAAAACCTTTTGGAAGGTCGATGACAACCTTCTGGAAGGTTAATGAAAAGGTTTGTCGAATAGGCAAACTTCCGAAAGGTCGATGAACAACCTTCCGGAAGGTCTTCGAAAAATCTGAATTTTTAGGTCGCGAACAGCTGGAGTTCCTCCCACTATAAATACTTAAGGATAACTTCTTTAGCCCTATTTCAACATCTCTAACCCTAGAAAAACTTAGAGAGGAAGAAAGGAAGAGAGAAACACAAGATCAAAGGGGCTTTTTTCAAGAAGATCAAAACCCTAGATTTTTAAGAACACCAAGGTAGGGGTTTTCTTCCATTCTTGTCCATTGATACTAGGGCTAATATATATGTATTCTTTGACTCTAAATCTTATATATATGCTATGAAACCATCTTTCCTTGGTCTTTTGCAAGTATTAGCATGTTTTAAACAAAGTTAGGGTTGAATATCCATGAAATCTCATTTTCTTGATATAAAATCCTAGTTTTCAAAAGAGATGACTTTCTTCTTGATTCTTCCTTGTTCTTGACTTTGAAACTCTAGTGCTTTGTGTTGAGTACTAAAATGATATTGATGATGATCTCTTGCATTTTCTTCAAGTATTCTATTGAAATACTACATGTGAAATTGGGGATTTATGGAATTGTTGGTTATTTGAGGAAATTGTTGGTATTGTATCTCTTGTGTGGTTGTTGGATAAACATAGGCTACTATTGACCGGGTATCTTGGAGTGTGTAGACGTCTTCTTACTCCGTGTGGGTTTGAACTTTTTCTACTACTCGTAGTGGGGTTAGTGCCTTGCGAGGACTAAACCATTATCGCTCACGGGGTATCGTGAAAAAAGGGGCTAGTATACTACTCTTTGGTTGGATACGTCACTGCCATGGTGTTGGCATACGCCCTTCCTAAAGGTTGGATATCCTTGCGAGGATTTGTGTGGGTTGTATGTGGGCCATGATATTTTCGATGGTATTCATGCGAGGTCTTACTTCATACCAGAGGTATGAATACAGTGGTGGGTTATTGTTCATTGTACCAGAAATAGTTTCTATAAGAATTTTGGGAAGTATGAGATTCTGCAAGAACTTGGGAGAAATGGTTTATAGTGGAATGGATTAGTAGTTGTATATTGGTTTCATTTATGGATNAATACAGTGGTAGGTTATTGTTCATTGTACCAGAAATAGTTTCTATAAGAATTTTGGGAAGTATGAGATTCTGCAAGAACTTGGGAGAAATGGTTTATAGTGGAATGGATTAGTAGTTGTATATTGGTTTCATTTATGGATTAAATTACTACTGTTACTTAAACTTGAGATATGCTTAAATGTCCCTGTTTTATTTCAAAATTTATATATGTTATTTGTGAAAGGTGACCGACCGTTTTTATATACTTTTCTAAACCTTGTTCGAGTTTGGGAGGAATGTTTCTACAGAGCTTAGTGCTCATCCCCTACAAACTATATTTTTCAGATAATAGTCTAGAGGAAGAGCTCGGGATTGAGGAGCCGACACATTGGGAAGCTCCACTAGACGGGCTCATGAATCCTGAGGTAGATGTCTAGAGTTATACTTTCCTAGGTGCTAGACTAGGAAATTTCTTTTGAGATTATGTAAAGACTAATCTTTTGTAATTCCGCTACAAGTTTAAATGTGATTCTTTTGGCGATGTAATTATCATAGTCGATCACATTCTTTTGGGATGTAATGGTCATGGTTGGCCTATTCTTTTGGGATAAAATTGTGAATGTTATATTTGATGAATGAAATTTTTTTAATGATGAATTCATTTAGTTACTCTCATGATGTGAATAGTTTATAGATTGTAATGCCGTCCAAGGTTGGTTTTGGGACATTACAGTTACAGAAAATGGCTGCTGGGAAGTTGAGTTCCCAAGATGTTGAGAATACACTCATAGATGTGGATGAACCCAAATTGTGAACTCGAAATCAGCCCGAATTGAACTCAGAATTAACTAACCCCAACTCGAGCTTGCCCAAAATCAACTTGGGCAATACTCGAGTTGAGGCAGGTTAGGGTTAGGGTTGAAGATCTAATACTTAGGATTATGCTACGGTTTGCACCCCTACTCCCACTCTCAACTTTTATTTATATGTGTATACTTATTACAACCATATTAAATAATAACAATATCTATCTATACTGCTAATAAAAGAAAGTTAAGTGAAAATTTTTTGATTGATTATTATATCTCTATTAAAAAGGTTAAAGCCAAGTATATCCTTATATATTTAATTATTAAATATTCAAACGACCCTTCATATACTTCCACTACCACACAAATTATTATTATTCATTATAGTGTACATTTACTTATTTCACAAGTTGATGACTTTCTCTCTATCCTAAATTCTTTTCACCAACCATTTAATTTACAGTACAACCATTATCTAATTCTATTTTTGCAGCCACTTCATTGCCACTTAATTTTCTTTTGATTCATTGATACACTTGTACATGATTGTTCAAATAATAGTATATAAAAAATCATTTTTTTTCTTTCAAATAATTGGACTTTTAATCCTTCCTCCAAGACATACCATAAAAGCTTTTTGTTTGTTTCATTTACTTTTTGACCTTTCAAATTTTAACTTAATATTGATTAGCTGATTTGAACCTTTTTATTTCATATACATTCTCTCTTATTTTATAACAATCGAAACACAAAAGTTAGGAAACTCTTATAGTTGTTAAGTTCCACAATTATGTGAATTATTTTCTCTATTTCTCTTTCCACTAGCCAATTGATCTCACTTTTTGTGCTTGTTTTTTTGTATTCTGTGTATGAATATATACATTCCCTTTATTTTCTAATTCTAATTAAGGTTTGTTCATTTTGGCAATGAAGAAAATTCAACATCTAAGAGTAATGGACAGTGGATAACATATGAAGATGAGGACCTGACATGACATATGGCCAAATTTGAATAGTTGTGTTCAATCTCACTATTTATTTTATGTCATTACTTCTATATTAAAGTTTCAATTGTTGAATACCAAAAACCTCCAACGGCTTGTATTCCAACAACCATATTTTTTTAAGTTATTATCCAATTAAATATAGAAGTAATTACAACCTATTAAACTTATATATTATTTGTATACTAGTCATAACTCGTGTTTTGATAAAATATAAAATTCGAGCGTTCAAAAAATCGATCCTACTATATTAAATTTTTTCAAAATATATTAATTACAAATTAATTAAATATTAAATAATTAAATATACGATAGAAATGAGTGATGTGATATTTTTACGGATAAAATATATAAATGATTAAATATGTGATAGATATGAGTGATGTGATTTGATGTTTGAGTCTGACAAATAGATGATGGGTGAGGTAAATGATTGATGATGGTTTTGAGGGAAAAAATATGATTGGGATAAAATTCAAACATATTCATATTTTATTATATAGATATATACACATATTTTCAGTATAGAGATAAACAATCTGATATCAATTATCTTTTTACTATATAAGTTTCTGGACAATATTCAAAAGTGTGTGTGAAGTTTCTGTTTTATTCAATTGTGCAGATCTGAGTGAAACAACAGTCAATAGGTTGGACTGTTGTATCCTGGAGACGACGCGTTACTATCTTCTACACTATAATTCTTTCATAAAAGGGCATCATTTGTCTTAAGAGAACGACCTAGTCCGCACCTTACCTGACCATTCACTTTTTTTATTGGATTAATTGCAAGTTACATCACGAAAAGATAGTTCAATTCTCAATTTAGACCCCCAAAGATTAAAAATTTTAATTTGTACCCTCAAAGATAAAATTTTGTATCAATGTGTACCCTCAAAGATAAAAAAATCTCAATTTGCACCCTCAAAGATAAAAATTTGTATCAATGTGCATCCCAAAGATAAAAAAATCTTAATTTACACCCTCAAAAATAGAAATTTGTATCAATGTGCAACTAAAACTAAATTGATAAATTATATATAGAACCACTCATGCTTGTCACTTAATCATTTGGACCCTTTCACATTTAGAATATTATTTTTACATTTCATAACGTTTGTGCATGTGTAACATGTAACCCCTTTTCGTTGATATATGTTAATATAACCATTACAAAATATGATTTTATCCTAATAAAAAATTATAATTTCATATTACCCTTTATTTTGTGGGTCTGATATACTCTAAAGTTTAAAATCAAGCTTACCATTTGAATGTCCAATAGAATGTAGATATTTATATAATATTTTTTATATCCAATGCAATATATCACTCAATGTGCAACATTTTATTCTATTAGACATTCAAATGGTAAGTTTGATTTTGAAATTTAGAGTATATTGGACCCATAAAATAAAAGATAATATGAAATTATAATTTTTTATTAGGATAAAATTATATTTTTTAATAGTTATATGAACAGATATTAATAAAAAGGGGTTAGGTGTTACACGTGCACAAATATCATGAGATGTACAAGTAATATTCTGAATAAAAAGGGGTCCAAATGATTAAGTGACAAATATAAGGGGATCTAGGTATAATTTATCAATTTAGTTTTAGGTGCACATTGATATAAATTTCTATTTTTACAGGTGCAAATTGAGATTTTTTATCTTTGAGGGTGCATATTGATACAAATTTCTATTTTTGAAGGCACAAATTAAGATTCGAACAATCNGAGATTTTTTATCTTTGAGGGTGCATATTGATACAAATTTCTATTTTTGAAGGCACAAATTGAGATTCGAACAATCTTTGAAGGTACAATTTATAATTAACCCTTATTTATTTGCATTCAATTTTTTCAACATTATGTCATTACTTCACTATTCTATTCTACCCTTACTGTGGGGATGGTAATGGACCAAATAGTGTCGGTGCTCGTGTCTAGGTTGGGCTCCATTTTGCACAAGTGAATAATATACTTAGATATGTATATCTATACCATCTGACTCAGATGCCCTTTCATGGAGTGCAGATTTAGCAACTATATGGACAAATGCTCAGGTGGACAAAACTACCTCACGGTTGACAAGCACGGAGAGAGCCTGCTTTCATTAAAGTCACTGGAAAGTTTGGCGGAGGCAGACTGGAAATCCATCAATCCACCCAAAAAACTAAACCACCGTGGATTCCGATTCTGGGTCTCTCGCTGTACTGAAAAATGCCTTACAGTCGGGAACACAAAGAAACGAACTGTGGGTGTTGCTGAATGTAAGTTTGATGGCTCTAATCCTTACCTGCTCTTTGCCTTCCGTTTCCATTACCATAAAGCGTTCTGCTGTTGCGGTCTTCACAATGATTAATTTCCCCGAGGGTTCATAGTATTTTGGTATTCAAAATATGCAATTTTTTATACATTATATTAATTTTATTAATTTAGTTTTTAAAGTATTTAATCATTTTAGTTTTTATATAGATGAACCGTTAAATTTTTGACGGAATGATCACGTATTGGGCGTGTGATACTGTTTAAAAAATTAACACATCGTCACTTCCGTCAAAAAATTTAATGAATTATTTAATTAGGAACTAAAGTGACACGAATTAAATATTTTAGAAATCAAATTAAAAAAAATTGATATAATAAGAACTAAACTAACAAAAAATACATATTTTAGAGACAAAAATTAGTATTAATCCTTTCTAGAATATTTCCAACCATAGCAACCTATCATTGTAGAAAATATATTCAAATAATCAAAGGAATAAAGGAAATCTGCCGATTCTCTATCTTTTAGAAAATGGCCTAGTTTGATAAGGTGAATCTATGGATTCAATAATTTGTGGGAATAAAAGAAAATACTCAAGGAAATTTATAGAAGACAACTAAAATTTCAGTTGTGCGATACTAAAATACTTAGTATGCTCCACGAGATTACAACTTCAAAAAGGATTAAATATCTAATCTCAAACACACGACCTTTCAGCCATAATAACCAGGCTCAAGTGTGTTATAGGAAGCGTTCACCTTGAAAAACCCAAGTATTGCTCTACAAACTTTGACACATGGAACCATGTGAATGAAGCTATAGAAGATAGAAAGTTTAGTCCTGGCATAAATAGAGTAGGTTGTAAGAAGCTGGATGGCTGACACACTAGAGCTGTTCTTATACACAGTCTCTTGACAGTTGCATATAGTCAGATCATAAGAGAATGACTAGAATTTTAAAATAGTTAAAATTCAACTTAAAAAAGAGAGTAGTTAAAATTAAAAAAAAATGAATTTTTGGATAGTTAAAATATAAAATCTTGTTGGAGATGCTCTTAAAGCGTTCATGGTAAGACTTAACGTGGCCCACATGACATTGACACATGAGATTTTTACTGATGACAAATTATCGGTGAATTGATTGGGTCAAGATAATGATAAGATTGTCAATCCTAAACTAAATAGGTAATTAATGTTTTCTGATTGGTTAATAAGAAGAAGCAGTTTCTTGAAATCTTATTTTGATGGGAAGTAGAGTTCATATTACCTATAAATATGCACACGTGTCATCGATTTGCATATCATAAGTTTGAGGTTATGAGAGACAAACCAATTTTCAGGCTATACCAAAAGAATATTCTTCAAAATCAAGTAATTCAAAGATTTGTGATGATGCACAAATCGGTCTCGTACAAGATCAACAGTCAAGAATATGAATAGAGGCAATCAATGAATAATAAACAGACAATTATTGGTAAATCGGCAAATAAAGAGCTAACACAGGAATTTATAGTGGTTCGATCTGGGTGACCTACTCCACTCTCGTAACCGGTAGCGGTGGCCTGAGTCTTATATTAATGGGTGAAGTCGCTAGAGAGAGTATTCTCCAAGAGTATTACAGTGCTTAGAGAAGGAGAGATGAGGGTCTATAAGGGCAGGTGTAGAGGCCTCGGAGGCGTGCCCTCAATGTTGAGAGGGCATACATTATATAGTTAGGGTAAGGCGGTGAGTCGGTGACGTAAGTAAGAGATCCTCCACTATTTTGGTAAGTGCAATCATTGTAACTTTAGATCTCTATCCTGACATTCTTTCCCTCGTGCTCCTATTCAATCGGAGGAAGATCCTGAGCTGGACTGGGCTCGATCTTGACCTTGGATTTGGATCGAAGTAGGCTTGGGCTTGTATTGGAGTCAAGAGGACGTAAAAAGACAAGGGGGCAGCCTTGGGCGGCGCCTGGCTTAGGTGACCTGGGGCGGCGCCTCAAGTGCTTAGGTGTTGGCCTCTTGGGCGTTGGCCCATTGGACGTTCGCTTCTTGGGCATTGACCTTTTAGACGTTCGCCTCTTGATGCCTTCTTGGATTCCCTCCTAACGGATCAGCCCAGCTTCCAATGGGCTATGTCTTGGGTCCTCAATACTTGGACTTCGTGGTTTATTTTAATTGGGCCTAGTCAAATTCGGGCTCATAATTTGTCTCCCATGCCTCGAGCCTTTGACTTTTTTCAAGAGGAAGGGGTTGAGGGCATGTGTTTCGTTCCATTTGGGTGAGTCGGAATTTTTCTTACTGCCCACGGTATCTTTTCATCGTCGACGATTCACTGAATTTTTCGATATCGAATTTTTTTTTTTTAGGCATTGGCCCTTGCTTTTTTTTTTCTTGGCTTGGTTGGGCGCCGCCCTTTTGGCTTCTCTTTCTTTCTTTTTCTTCTATTTTTTTCTTGGCCTGTGAGCCGCCTTGTTGCTTCCCATTCTTTTTTCTTCTTCTTTTTTTCTTCTCTTTTTCTTGGCGTAGGTGCCACCTTGCTTCCCATTCTTTTTTCTTCTTTTTTTTTCTTCTCTTTTTTCTTCTTGGTCTTCCTGGGCGCCGTCTCTTGCTATCTCCCCCTTTATTTTTTTTTCTTTTTTCTTCTTGGTCTTCCTGGGCACTACCTCTTGCTCTCTCCCCCTTTTTTTATTTTTTTATTTTTTATTCTTGGTCTTCCTAGGTGCTGGAACTTTGCCTTCTCTCTTTTTTTTTTCCTTTAGCTTCCCTGGGCGCTGACTCCTTCCTTTCTCCTTTTTTTTTTTTTTTGCATTTTCGTCTATAAATAGAGGGCTACTACTTCATTAAGCTTCTCCAAGAAGCTACTAATCCATTGAGCTTCTCCAAGAAGCTAACTTACCAAGCTTCCTCAAGAAGCTTTGTCATGGCTTCCTCAAGAAGTCATCCCTTCCTATTTAAAGACTCCCAAGGCTACTTTTCATCTCATTCTCCACTTCTCACTTCCATTTCTCCCTCTTTGGTTTTCTCTCTATACTACCCAAATCAAAGGTCATGGATACGAGGGGTTCAAAGAATCATAACGGAGAGGAGGTAAGAGGAGGGGGCGCCCAAGGGGTTGCTATGGGCGACACTGGGCTCGCGGGATCAAGTGGAGTAGGTTTGGGCGGCGCCCATTGCGTGGTTGTAGCAGGAGGCGGTCTTCGTGAGGTCCCGACAAGAGGCGAGAGGCATTTCAAAATTCTTGGCCCAAGACTAGGTACGACAAGGAGTCTTCACTTAACCTTTTTAGTACATCAGGAGGGACCCCAAGAGCATGTGAGCAGCAAAGCGGATCTGTGGAAGGTACCAGAGGCGCCTATCATGGGCTGGGCGGCACTTCAAGTGGTGCCCATGGTGCGTCAGACGGCGCCCCAGGCTCCCCAGGAGGCACCCCAGATGAGGTGCAATCCCCCCATCGCGAGTCCAGAAAGTGGTTGATCAGTGACTTGGACGATACGAGGTCTTGAGGTATGTCTCCCAGTATTCTTTTTACTTTTCTGTTGATGTATTTACTTTCTTTAGTAATGGTCTGAACTCTTTTTTTGCAGGTATTCACTCAGGCGAGAGGGAGACTGATGGGGGCCCCGATGGAGGTCCAAGTGCTGGGGGAGGCGACGGTTCCAAGGTAGCTTCTATACTTAGCTTATTTGGCCGTGATGATGATATTGTTGTCATAGTGTTTTCATACCGTATTTCACCCTGCATAACTTGTCGTCATGCTGAGGCCGACGAGTCTGCATATCGTGACTCTTTGGGCGAGATCATCGTTTACAGGGGCATGCTGGAGGCGGGTCTATGGTTCCCAATTCCTGGGCCTATATGTCAGGTTCGCGGGTGCTTGTTACTGGTTCTAGGGAGACTGANAGGCGGGTCTATGGTTCCCAATTCCTGGGCCTATATGTCAGGTTCTCGGATGCTTGTTACTGGTTCTAGGGAGAATGGCTCCTAATGGTTGAAGAGTGATTTCTACATTTTTTGCATTGTGGCAGTTGGTACATAGTGCTACCGTCCCTCTGCCAGTCGAGGAGTTTCTAGCTACATATATGCTACTTGAGAACCCCGTTCCCCACCGGGGATGGTATCGCTTCGCCCCAAGATCGGGCAAGTTCATTACTGGGCTCACGTCCAACCATCATAAATGGAAGAGGAAATTTTCTTCATCAGAGGCGAGTGGGCTTCTGATTCCGATCACGACCTGTGCCCTTTCGATGGGATACAGTCTCAAATACCAAGCTAGGTGAGGGTTTTTCCTTTAACTTCTGTCTTTATCATCACATTTTTGTTCTCACAATGCAACTATCTTTTTGCAGCTCCGCTGACTTTATCCAGAGATTAGGAGTGGTTTCTCCAAATGGTTCGTGATAATCCGAAGGAGTTTCCGGAGATTATGTCGACATTTGGTGTCTCCACGGCTCCCTCTAAGCTAGGGAAGAAAGGTACTTGACTCATTTAGCAGTCCTATTGAAAATAAAATGTTGTAGGCTTTTTAACTTACATTGGATCTGCAGGTCCTCCCCATTGATAGGTCATTGGTGGAGTCTATATGTGCCTCCAGGGTGGTGACTTCCCCTCTTCCTCCTTCGAAGAGGGCAAAAACTAGTGCCCCCAGTTCTTCTTCACTAGGGCCTACTAGAGAGGCTAGTCTTGTAGAGGCAGGGCTCGGAGATGCTCCTCCTCCCTCTTTGGTTGTTATTTCCTCCCCTCCCGAGATGATTCTAGTACTGCTGCAGGGACTGAGGGCTAGTCGCCATGTCCCACTGGGACGGAGGATCCACCCAGTTGTTTCCCTTCAAGTGATGCTTTAGTGTCTATGCTACGGGATATGAGGTAGGCAAGGGAGAGACTTTGTGATTTTGTGTCCATCGTCGAAGCCCAAGAGGTTGCTTCTCGGGGTCCGGAGGGTGTGGTCAATGCCACCGTAGAGGGTTTTGCATTGGTATATCCTGCACTCCCGCTTTGTATCCGACTTTCTTTTTCATATC